GTCCTGCAGAACACGACTCCACCGTGCCTCCAAACAGAAAACTTCAAGGCACGGTAGAAGAGGAATTATCTTTCCTCTCAGTTTGGTGGTGCATGTTGAAACATGCATTTTTGTTTTTGTTTTTGTTTTTTTTTACTTAATTATTTTGTGGAGCAGAAGAGGAGGGGAAGGTGTATGGATGTGTTTGTAAATGCAGCTTAGTGGTTTAAAATGAAGACGCCGCAAACGGAGCAGTATATGCCACAGAATGAGCTTACTGCATCATCTGTAATGTAGTGTTTATGACGCAGCAAATTAAAACAAGTATGAAAAACAAATCTGAATAATAACAAAAAGGAGTGGCCAAGTGGAAGCCTTGGTGAAGGTATGTTTATATGCACAAGTAAACCGTTTTGCGTTGAGATGAAATATTTTCAGAAGGCACGTTCAGTGTATGTAGAACTGTAAAGGGACAACATCAATGAACAAGAAGCCACTTTATATACAAAATGCATACAAAAATGATTTCTACTTCCTTCGGCATAGAAATATGTGCAAATAATACTGTATGCATCCGTAAAGATTTGTATAAACTCTCTGGACAGTCATGATCCTTTTGAAAATGGGGCTCAGATAATTTACTTGAAAGGGCATAGCGTTCAGAAGAAGCAGCCACCCTTTTCTACATCACCAGTCACCAAAAAGAGCCATCTCTCATGTAACATCCACTTTTGCTTATTAAATGCAACATATTACACGTTTAAGAGTCTACCATAAATGGTTTGCTCATAACATTGCTCCCTGAAAATGTTTAAGGCACATCCATAGGAGGATTTTTAACCTTTCATATTGCACCCGTCTCATATATAGGATATACTTTTGCGACTGTAAAGCAGGAGAGCTTATGCCTCTACTTTGTATTGAAATTTTCAGGTTTGCATACTACGGCTTACGGTGAGTTTCTTTGCAAGTCAAGTAACTACTGCAAAGATCTCACGACTTGCATTTTATTGCTGAGCATTTTGAAGTATGAGTTTCCTTAGCAGGTCTTTCCTTTATGAAATTCCTACTGCTGATAGGGTCAGAAATGTATTGCTGCGAGAACACAAGCCTGGAACAAGAAACACAACAAAACATCACCACCTAAAGCTGCCCCAAAGAGCATTATCATAAAGGGAGTATATGAGTAAAGACTGTTCCAAGTCCATCTGTCAAGAAAGAGCTGAAAGTTTGAAAATGTGTTCTTACAGACCTTTAGAACAAACAGAAAAAAAAAAAAAAAAGCATTTACATTAAAAGCACATTCAAATCATATAAAGTACTGTAAATAATATTCAAAAAAATCCAAGACACGGTGGTTACAGATTATGAAAGGGAGAGACAGTCGAGGAGCAAAGTGTTTTTTTCCCTTGGCAACAGCAGCAATTTTGGCACACAGGCGAAAGATAGAAAGAGGCAGACAGAGTACAGAGAAGAATTACAGAATCTAAGACAAGCATGCCACAGTTGAGCAGAACCCAAAGCATAGTACCAGCTTTCCCCAACTTCCCTTCCCAGGAGAGAATGGCATCAATCACTCAAAAGCTTGTTGCCACTTCCCTATCCAAAGGGGCTGATCAATACTGCAGGAGCCAGTTAGAACTTAACTCCCTGAAAACATCCCTTGTGACACTACATAAGATGTCACGTGGGCTCTCTGGCAAACCAGGCAAACCTTCATAAAAATGATGTTTCTAGAAGACTGCTAAAAAACTCAACTTGCTTCTCACAAGTTGTACCCTGTAACTACAGTTACTGCAATACAAGGGACAGACAGTCAGTGAGGGACTGACATCTAGCAAAGTTAATGCATGCCTGTCAGGTTAGTACTGCATCACAAGAAAGTGCTTGTTGTGACCAACTGTACCTAAGCTGACCAAAGCCGCTGAACATCATTTTGAGTTTGAACAGATTTTAATTATTAATCTGGCTAGAAAAAGAAGAGGACAGATTTGGTGGTAGAGTAAAGGAGGTACTGAATGTAGGGAGAAAACCTGGAAAATTTACATTTGTTTGGGATTCTGTGGCAACTAAAAAGCAGGCCTGCCACAACTTGTCCTAATGGTCTCTGAACAAGCTAATTAAGGACAGAATTTAACTCAGAGGGTATAAAACTTAAAACCAGGGGACTTTTGTCTTGTGCACTGCTTTGATGTTTCTGCTGTACATTTTCCTTTTGCATTCTAAGCTATCTTTAGAACTCCATCAAAAATTAAACCTACACATTTCACTCTTTTTTCACTTAATCGTCTCAGAGGCAAATTACACTCCTCATCAACATCTGCCTCACTAGTAAGATTGGCTCAGATCTCAAGTTATGAAATCACTACTGCCCAGCCTCAGCTGCTGGTACTTGCCTTAAAGGAGGCCAAACAGTTTTCAGATATACAACCAGTTCATGGTAAGTCTACTGAATGGGCAACGTGGAGCGTGGGAAACTATCTCCAGTTCAGAGAGCTTTTTGCTTACGGTATTCTTCTATAGTACAGTGAAAGCAGAATGCCTATAGTTTCTCACTTAGAGAAGTTAATAAATTACAAGAAAGCATATACGCACATAGTTCAAAGCCAGTAGTTAAATAAAGATGTAATCTTAGAGACTCCCTTTGATTATTCAGAAATAGTATCTTATTCTTCCACTGTATCATGAAGCTTTGCAATTCAAAAGCTGAGGTTTTGTGTGGTTTTTTGTGTTTTTTTTTTTCAAGCCATACAGAACTGTAAACACATTGCAAGTTTCCTGATCTACTGTGCAAGAACTGGAGCTAAAGAGAGGTACCTACAGCACATGACCATTAAACTGACTAAAGGAGAACTGGCCTGCCTTAATGACACCGCAGCTTGCTTTTAAAATATACGGCATTTAGCCTCCTCTCCTGCTTCTTAACCCTTGTTAATCCAGTAGTTTTAAAATATACTTACAACTTGCTTCATAAAGAAAATGAGATCTCAGCTATAAATAATATTTTCTAGTAGAAAGGGGGAGACAACAGAAGCAGAAGGTAACTCTTCAACCATTAAAGGTGTTTCAGTCATGCACACACAACAACATATTACATTGCCTTAAAGATGAACTAGCTTCATCCAGCTGAATATGCCCTAATGATGTACTTTGCACACAGTACAAGAGCCAAAGCTTTAAAGCTGCAAAATATTTAAAAACAATGCTACAGTTAGGCACAGCAAACTGGAGACCTAGATTTCAAGTCTTGCTGTTTGATAAAATGGTGTCTGTTCTACTTTTCTTCTCTAGAAATATTACAGCTCTTGTAACTGTGCCATCGCAGGTGCCAACTATGTCACCACTACATAAGGAGAGATGGAAATACCTGGCCTAACATTTGTCCTACTTACTGATCACATGGATACTGTCTGCTGAAGGCTCATCTAGAAATGCAAATAATTAAATTTGATCTGTTGGAAAGACTAAATCAAGGAAAGGAGATCGACAGCAACTGTACTGAAAAACTAATTGATATACACAGCTAAACTCTCCTCCACTTCTCATCACCAATAGCTTGAACCCATAAGCCACTTTTCCTATGATACAGTCTGTGAATTAACAGCTCCAAGAAGTATCTTTTTCACACATCTTAAAGAATATGCTCTACGTTAAAAAAATCATAAAACCAAAAACTCTTCACCTTTAGAGTAAGCAATTTTAAACCTAACCTACAGTACAAAAAAATGCTGTCATTATCCCATATTAGTGGCATTTTGGACCTGTCATTTTTCATTACATTTTTTCTCTCCTCCATTCTGCCATACGGAAATTCCACACCATTAACAGACAAAACAGCGAGTGTAACTACACTTAAAGAGTCAACCACACACAGTAAGAATGACTTTCTGTGTTCAGTTACCACCTTAGAAATGCTTGTAAGAATATTATGTCAAATATAAGGATGATTTTTATCTGCCTGTATGTTTTTAATGTTTCTTCTCAATTAGCACTGTGAAGACATTCTTTTCTAAATTTTTCCTCTAAGTATGTTCTCCCTCTAAAAGCACCTAATTTCCTGTTTCCAGAGCATTCTAGAATCAATACTAGAACCAAATCTCTTTCTGACATCACTAAGTGAGCATATAGGGGCTGGGCAAACGAGCATTTGTAGCAGAGTCACTTCTCCCATGTTAGAAGGAATTAGAATTTTAACTTAATAGGCAAAAATACTTCACAGTGAGACACACACATTCACTACCTGATTCCCAAAGCCATGGCCAGGAGCAGCACAGAATCTGGCAGTAAGGGAAAAGCACCATGACCTGTCAGCACCACGAAATTCAAGAAGCTTAAGGAATCCCATCCCATTAGCTGTCACAGACACCCAGAATTCCAAAGGAGACACAATCCAGAGATAATGGGATCTTTGCATTCAAGTACCAGATTAGTGAACAAAAATTTGGGAGAATGAGAAACTACTCCCAAATTTCAGGCAAACACAGAAATCCAATTTGAGAATTCCAGTGTATCAGAACTTGCAACTTGAGTCAACAGTGAGGTACATACATTACAGACAAAGCCTCTTTATCTGAGTCCACTCAGAGGAGACCCTTAACTGAGGATCTGTGTTTTCCTCGAACTATTTCAGACAGTGTCCTTTAAAGAAATGAGAATATCTAGGCCCCAAAGCCACAATGCAAAATAACATATTGAGAACTTCACATAACACACGAATTTCACACGGCACCCCAATTCACAGAGTTATACAGCTTATAAAGTTGGGTCACGTTATTCTTAATGGTCAGCAGACTGGCCACAGAACTCCCCTAAGATCTGCACGAGAACTTCTGACTGGACATAGAGAAAGGGAACCCCAAAAGCCATCAGCTGACACATGAAAAAGGAGTCCAAAGGGTTCTGGGCTACCTGGTGCCCAATCCAGGAAACTGTGCTTTGCAGTCGCTGGCTTGCCACCCTAACTCTGTCAAAGAAGCCGAGAGAGTACTGCACCACCCTGCTAAAGAAGGAAGCGGAGCTACCTGGGGCCCTCTCTGCTGAGGAGGAGATGGAATTTGCCCGTCCACTTCCATCACTTGCCATGGTGTCCTGCAGAGGTCCTTTGGTGTCCTGGAAGAGTGAGGAAATGAATTAAATCCATACTAAAATTGCAAGCACCTAGAAAATACTCTTTTCATATGAGATTGTATGTACTGAACACAATGAACTGGGGAGACATCCCTTTGGCAATTAAGATACCCCTTATTTATTCTATAAAGGCAAGGTCTGTATCAAACATGTTCCTTCTCAACAGGCTTAAAACCCCGAAAAACAAGCTGGATATCCAAGAAAGTCAAAGCAGTAGGATCCCTAAAATCTGCTCATCTGGGATACATAACGTTTCACTTTTGGTCTTTCTTTTTGGCTGAAAGAATGGCACAAATTTTGAGATGGATCCCTAGCCCTCCCAAAAAGGTGCAAGCTCTAGCTTGTACTAACAAAACTTGACAAGCAAGCAGAAAGATCACCACCACCACCACCACCACAAAGGAAAATATCATCTAAGGGGGAAGGTCAGTTTGTAGCATTCAATCTTAACAGAACTTGAATGCAAAGAAACTACCACAGAGCTTGCTCACATCGAGAATGCAAAAATTCTACAGTGAGTTGAGGAGATAAATTAAGTCTAATACGCCCTGGATTATAAAGACAAAAGCAGAGACACCTTTCTGTATTACACAGTAGGTCTTGGGCCTATGTTTAAAACACAAATGCTTCCATTACAATGATATAGGGAAAAGGATACCCTTTCTTTCCATACAAGTTCACACTAACAGACAGCAAACATTTAGAAAAGACAGTACATCATCTTTATAGCCTATGCAACTGAGTTACAATTTCAAGTTTCAGAAGAAATGCAAATAATTTGTTTAATCTTAAGGAAAAGCAAAACCAGCAACATAAGTTATTTAGTCTCTTCATGGACTAAATAAGCATTTCAGTACAACAAGAATACAAATCAAAATACTGTTCTGAGTGGATCAGTACATCATTTTATAATAAGAACCATGAAAAGAGAAGTGATAATTGCAAGCTTCTAATGAAAATTTATAGAACTCTAGGATATTATGACATAACAACACCATTAGATGCATTCTGAATTTTTCTACCTTCACAAAAAGAAAAGCATATTTACTCTTTCAGTGTTAAGAATCAACACCTATTAACTTGACATGCTAGATGAAAAGAATGAGTTACCTTTCCTGACACTGCTGGCCTCTTCCTTTGAGCATAACCGGAGAGTCGGTAACAGTAGTGGGGCTTACAGTAGAATTTACCTGCAGACAGAACATTAATGATGGTCGACAACAAGAACACAGCACCTTAACACAATATAAATGTCCATCTCACTGCAACTTATTTTCTGTTGTCCTTCCTTCCTCTAGTTTAATCAGTATGCACCGAGACAGCACTATCTGAAGTTTTAACTCCAGCCCTCCTCTCTCCCCTGCCTAGCTAGCTTCCCTTTCATTGGGTGCCTGACAGCCATTGAGCATAATATCCTATCAAACACCAAAGCAAAGCTGTGAGGCTTGTGTGGTATCACATGCTAACAATGCGGCAGTGTGTGAGGAACAAAGAAATCATCACATGAAAAGCTGGCAGAAGCACTTTTGGAAAAAGCAAGAATGAATACAACCAGCAGAGGAAAGAGGGAGAGGAGGGCATTAACTCCCAGAGAACCATCTCCAAAAAGAGACTGTAGTTACTTGCAGAAAGGGCTATCGAGCAAAGAGTCATTTTCACAAGTAAGACCTGTTGTGACACTAATGTTTTAGTAACACTCCAGAAGCCTAGATGGGTTTTCACCAGTATCTGAACACTATCCTTACAGACAAAGCAGCACTAGTGATACCCCAGTGCAAATAATAACAACAGAAGCAAATTGATGGCGCGGTTATCTTCCCAGGTACCTTTGCTACCATATCCTGCTAAGTGTATGCAGCCCACAGCATACCTTCTGATATCCCGTTCCTACAACCTTCCTAACGCATTTCAAATCCATACTCTGACCTTTGCTGCTTTCCACAGTTTCTCTGAGCTGGTACTAGCACATTGTGTTATGATAAAAAGGCTATCTTTTGAGAACTGCTTGCTTAAACAAACATTTGTTAATGTGGAGTCTTTCAAATTGCTTCAGGGGGAAACATCCAACAAGAAAAACAACAGCAACGCCCTTACATACTCAGGCTTTGAACCAAACACTGACTGTAGAACACTACAGGACGCTCAGTCAGAAGGGCTAGATGAATAGCAACTGCATGCATACATTTTATCTTTTCTTTCAAAACAAATCCAGAATGAAACACGAGCTATGTTTTCACAGTGATTAGTGACAATAACATACATTTTTCTATGTGGTCACATTTGGTATATATACATATGAAATTGTTAACCGTGTAACAGTGTCTTCAGAATCAATGCTGCAGATGTGCTGAGACTCCAGGCTTTGTGTTTGTTTCATTGTGAGCTGTCTGGCCATAACTGTGTACATAAGGTGGCTGGCAGAGAGAATCACTAAGTCTGGTGGCAAAAACTATTTCAGCACATACAACAGACAGAAAAGCTCAGCTTGCTACTGCACATTTAATCAGGTACCCCATTACTTCTGAATGCACAATAACAGCAGTGCTCAACAACTGCCTTGTCCCAGCTTTGATAATTGACCAAGCAGTTGATTTTACACATAGATTTCAAAATTATCACTGGCCCCTTTAAACTTACAAGTCAAGTCCGCTGTCATTCTGGACAAGTAATAATGGGTTTTCTATTCCTTACTGGGTGGCTGGTTTGATGATTCCAAGATTCCTCAATTCTTTGTGATCCAAGCCCATTACTAAAGGTCGCTATATAATTCATCTTCAATAGAAATATTATGTTGGTTCTTTCTGCCCCATAAGCCTAGCTGATGTATCCATGGCCACTGTCAGTATTTTCAAAAATATTCAACCCAGTTACACAGGTATCTATCAATTTTAGAACTTTTCAGTCTGCAGAGAGCATTCTGGAGTTTCATCCTGTAGCATACAGCTTACAATTTTTACTTCATCTTTCACTCAATCAGTGTGGAAAAATATCATTTGTAGAAAAAAAAATAACAGGAAAAAGTGCTATGTCATCATTTCTGGTGTAGAAGCCTCTCCATCTAATATCCCCCTAGTTTTACATCATCTTATACATATTTTATTGTGAGATCAGAGCAAAGATAAATGACAGTTTTGAAAGAAGGCAAATGTTATACTTCTTGATATACATGAAGCTTTATCTAAGACACCTTACTTCTTCAGAAGATGTGAATTTTCTGCTAACAAGCAACAAATATAACACTGCCACTCCTAGAAGGATGTTACTCTTCAGAAGTGACGTGCAATTTGAAATTATAATTTTCAACATGCTCATCTTCTGGGTGCTAAAGTAAGTTTCAACTGCTGCCACACTGTCTGGTTTGTCAGATCTGTTATGTGATCTGTTAATAATCCTTTAAATGTGGACTCTGTTAACTGAGTCATCAATAAATTCATTAATTTGGTAATCATATTTCTTGCTCCTCAGTCTATCAGACACAGAAAGAAAAAATTATTACCCAACTTTCAGTAACTAATTCTTTCTGCATATATTTAGCATTGACCTAGCCCTACTCAACTTCTATGTCCTATTTTTCCCCACTAAAATATAACTTAGTCCGTAATTATCAATTATCACAGCCCTTGATTATAAAATTCTTCTTTTGTTATATCTAAAATGTAGAGCTCTACTGCTGTGTTCTCTTAAAAAGTAAAAGCTGATTATGTCTGCCTCCAACACGCTATGTTCTCTTAAATAAAACCAAACTAGATTTAAAACTAAACTCATTTAAAACTAAAATGAGTTTCCTCATTTAAATGTCATCGAAGGAATAGTAAAGGATCTAGCCCTAAAAGACAGCTGCCAAACCATTTTAAAGCCCTCAACTACTATCTGTTTCTTTCCATTCCAGCAGCTATTCTTACATTAACTCCTCACAGCTCTCAGCATTACCTGGCCACAGGAAACCCACAGAGCTGTAACAGTTTGAGAGGATATCTCTGGAACTGAAGTTACTCCGTCTCTTAACTCACCAAATAATTTGAAAGCAAACAGCGAGCTGTGAAATCACTTGACAAACTTCCAGAGAATTCTTACAAAAAGGCAATTTCTCTTACCATCTTCAATATCATAGGCGTAAGATGACAACCGCAGAGTGGTGGCACAGTATTCACACTTGAAGCAACTGCGGTGGAAGAATTTGCCTTCAGCACTCAGCCTTTCCATCACATAGACTCGCTTGCGGCAGAAGTAACAGACATCACTGCCTCCCAGGTTCTGGGGAAACTCCTTTTTGAGCGAACCCTAGACAGATATAGGCGTGATTAAATTTGTGTGTGTCCATTCTCACCAAGACCGCATGGTCATGTTTTCTCTTCATCTTTGCAGATATGGGAGCATCTGGATGCCGCTGTTCTTTGACACACCGATGCTGCAGCACTGTGACACAGTTTTAGCTAGGAAACCAAAAACTAACCTTGAAGTCCAGTGAAGGTCCTAGGATGTCATGCCTATGTATGTGAGGAGTAAATTAGGCTCTGGATGGAAAAGTGGACACAAGTACTATTAACAATGACCTTGAAATAAATAAATGAGGGAGGCATATGATAGAAAGGCAAAACCATTAAGAGATCCTTCAAACTGCAATTCTTAGACCAAAACTAGTACCTCCTCTAGTAAACAACAATGTTGAAGTAGCTGCAGTGGAACAAACACATCTTCACAAATATGACCACCAGTTTGTCAACTGGTTGTAGCTAATCCTTGAGTGCTGAGATTAGATTCAGCAATTTTACAAGGAAAATGAGGACAAGAGAGAGGGTGGATGGAGAAAGGGAAGTTAAGTCTTTTACAAAGCTACTATGGATCCACCAGCTGTACTAACAACTGGACACTCACAATACTTCGGATCTACAGTACATCTAATCACAAACACACATCATCTTCTGCACATCATCTTACCAGTTCCTTCTTGTCTAGAAGGGTTTTGGGTTGCTCTTTCCTTTGAAGCTGATTGGCTATCTGCTCAGCCAATGAGCTCACTCCGCCTGTGTACATCTTTATATACTTCTACCAGATGGATGGAGTAAAACAAAAGGGAAGTGAGAAAAGAAAAAGAAATAAAATTATAAAAATGACTAAAATGATAATAGGTTAGGTGGTGAAAAGGTGCAGAGAGGTGAAACCATGCCAAGACAGTGGACAATATGTAGTGACAAGTAGCAACAGCAACACTAGTGTCATCAGTAATCACTGGAACAGTCCAATATCAACTGCAACTATGAAAAAGAAGGTTTGCATTTTGCATTCTCTAAGTGCTCTAGAAATACTATGATGATGAAGAAAGCCAAGTTCTTTCTTGCTTATGGGGTACTTTGCACCTGGAAACCTGAACAGATTCACCTCTCAAAGATGAAACTAAATGTAGACAAAGATTTGAGGTTCCAGGTAAAATTGGCATCAGAACCAAAGACATTTTGGAAGACACGTCATAGAGTCTAATGTAACATGCTGATTGCACCAGTTTATTTATATGATTAGAACCTGAAAAGAATACATTTAAAGTGCATTCACAGAGCAGGAAGAAATCCTTAACTCAGGAACTCACACTCATTCAAAACTATCGTTTTTCCAAAGCTAAAAATACATAGAAGTTTATATGGAAAACGATGGCAAGAATCTCATCCAACACTTTAAAGCCATACCTGCAAACATCTGGAACATGTGTTCAATCAACACTGAACATGGCTTTATGACCCGGCTTTTCTCCATCATGGGTATTGACTGATGCAATAACTGTGGATAGCTAAAAACCCTCCAGTATTCTGAGAAACCTAGGCATGTTGGCAGTTACACTAGATGGTCTAAAATGAGTGTTTGCAAGCCATGTTCAGTCACTGCAGGAGCAGAGGAAGTGATTTTCAACGGAAATAATTTCAGCCATCATCAATAATTACATGGTTAAGAGAATTATGTGCTTACATCCGTGTTAGCTTAATCACACTGCAAACACCACGAATTTGACTCAGCAGAGCAGCAAAGAGCACACCAAGCAATTTTCCTTTTCCAAACTACAAAGTATTATGAATATTTCTAGCTGGAATCTCCCCAGGAAATGAAGGAGCAGAAAGACACTGCCTTCTGGCAAGTGCAAAATCACTAGGATAGCAGTATCTTGAAGGAAAAGATTGAACTCTTCTCCCAAAATTCCCATTACCATACTAGAACTAGTTATTTCCCATAACTAACAACGCAGTATATGTTTCACAAGAGTGGTTATTAGCCTTTTAGAAATGTAAGATTTCTAAAGATTTTTAAATGTAATTTAAGACCTTCACACACTCAGACATGAGAAAAGCAGGAAGCATCACAAAAATCTGAAATCCATCACAGAATGGTATTTCAGGGGGAAAAGGGTCTGAAAACGGCAGGCTTGGCCATCAGAGACTGTAGTTGCTATCACTGAAGTCCTAATTCCTCAAGAGCTACGTCACTACAATAAAGGAGGTTTATTTCTGCCCACAAAGAATTTATACTCACTCCTCTTACAGGCTCGTCTGCTAAATCCAGCCCAAAATGTTGAGCGTTTGCAGTACTTATGTATGCAAGTTAATAACACAATTTGTCTTTCAGAATTTTCAAGCTTTTCCAGGGGAAGAGGGTGCTTTCAACAGACATTTTCTTTCAGCTGAAACTGCATTTCAACTAAACAGGTTCTGATTTGAAACCTTCATCCTACCTTAACTGCAGGTGCTTCAGGATCTTTACATTCCCATCAGCACATATAAAGTTCTGTGCCCAAAAACTGATTATGCTAATCTTAACTCACAACAACATCTGAGACTATTTGGTGTGGGAAATGTAATTGCTCAAATTTTGATTTCAGGTTCTGTGGTTCTGATTTCTCTACCTATACATGGCAACTGGTCAAATATTGGATTTTAAATGGAGTACTTTAACTTTCCTTGGGTAAATGTCTTCAACATTTTCAACAGTGAGCAAAGAACCACTTCAGCTTAGGTCAAATCAAATTCCTTTTGTTTTCCAGCACGACAACTGCAACTAGATGAAATTCCTAGTGATTTTTCAGAAAGCCAAAGTATTCTGTATCTCATACTATAGATGAAGCATATACACACAAGCCCATTCTGTAGTTTGGCCCAGAATCTCAACCAAAGCAGCAAGCAAAACAAGAAAGCTTTATTCCAAAGCTAGACTATTAGTGCTCAAAAAAAAAAAAACAAAAAAAAAACCAACAAACAATTTGAGAGCGAGATGAACCAGAAGCTTTTACATTTGCACCAAAAGTTACATATATTTAGTTTCAAACTGCTTTATGTTTGACAACAAGCTATGCCACAGGCTGCCTGATTTCTCAGTTGTGCATGAATATGCACAGACATTGCATTTTGCAGGTGAAGTGTTGCAAGCCTAGCCATCTCTTGTGGTTTGTCCTTGGCCAATGGGCCCAGGGTGGGTAAGTGACACAGCCGAGTGCACCTAGCAATGCTCAGGCCAATGCTACCTGTCGAAGAGAGTCAGATGAAGGTGAAGAAGGGCGATTAGAAGAACGGAGGCTAAGGGAGAGCTCCCACTGGTCAACAAAGAATCGGCGAGACGGTTCAGTCTCAGGCTAAAAAATAAAATAAGAATCACAACAATCATACATAGATATGAAGGTGAAAATAAAAACAAAAATTCAGGCACTTCTGCCCACCACAAAAAAAAAAAAATATATATATATATATATTCTTAATGACATTTGTAGGACAACTTGGAAAAAAATGTCCAGTGCATCTTCAATTTCTCCCTAGTGAGACAGAGTATGTTGTTCTTAATTTGTCCTTTATTACGTTTTAAGTCACTGAGGGCCATTTGGAAGCAGTTACCTACTTCCACAGATGTCTAGCCTCCTGTAACCCAACCAACTAAGCCACTGGCACAGATCCCAGATCAATTTCCTCTGTTCCTCCTGTATCTCCTGTTGTTCCGTATTACTGGCTCAAGACACTAGGATTCTATTTCAGGCCACATGAGACCACTTCTACATTTTAACTATAAATGCAAAAAAAAAAAAAAAAAAAGATCCTGCTCTCCTTTGAGGTGGGAGAAATTCACTTGTAACCGTTGCCAACAAGCAGCACCAGATTTCCAGTATAAAATTTAATGTAGTAGATTTGAAACACCCCAGTAAAAATGATTAAACAGTATAATGCAATCTGCCATTTCTGCTTATCAAGTGGCAAAGAACAAATCTCTAACTGAAAATATGCATCCTTCTGAAATGGGCCCTTCACAGGAGGACAGAAGATATGGGCTCCCAACATACTCTTCTCACTCCCTTTATGGCTAACTAATGCCCACCTTCTGATACACTTAATGTAAGTAGGAAAAAAAAAAAAAGGTAGTGAGATATATCAGACAGTACTGGCAGGAACCGTGCATTCCTTAAAATTACTATCTGGAAGAAAAAAATATGTAAATTTCAAACATTTGACTTTCTTTTAAAAGAAAATTATGTTTTGTGCTACAAAAAAGACAAAAATAAATGTCATGAAGCTACTGGACTCACAAAAATAGTAATTTCTAGCCACTTAGAAAAATCTAGCTTGCTGATTAAACCTATTGAGCACAATAAAAAATAGGTGGGTTTTCAGAAATATAACAGTATATTAAAACACTGTATATTAAAAATCTGTGATTCTGTGATTTTCTGTAATTAAGATCATCAATATTTAATCGAATTGCTTTTCTGAAAATTTCTTACTTTCCCTGAGCTTTCTGTTAGTACTCTACTTTTTCTCAATTTCTTTCCCTAAATCCCACACTATAATCTGTCATTGTCTGCAGTGTTCCAACATCTGTTTCTGTCTTAATCTCTGCCTTACTCTCTTTATCCTTTCCTCTACTTTGTGTTCTCCATCTTCACTATATTTTCTCTTCTCCTTCATTCTACACTGTAAAGAATTAAGATTTTTTTTTCTGCAATGTAATACTGTTAATCTTCTCCACCCTCAAAAAGAGCCTGAAAGTGCTGGATAGCAAGAAGAAGGTAGGAAGTAGATGTTTGGGTCCAGATGTTAACTTCTGTACCATTATTTCTACACAGTAATGAAACACATACAAGCATGCTATCCTCAGATCATGCCTGAGATCTTCAGTTGTGTCACCCATTAACAAATAAATGCTGGTATGTTTAAAGCAGTCTCCTTACCCACACTTACATGGTTTCTTCTATGTCTGCAACATCCTATCTCAAATCCAGCCAAAGGTTCACTCTTCCTTCCTGGAGAACAGCTTCACTGATTTTAATCAGCAAATCAGCAAAGACTGCATCCCCAAAGAACAGCAGCTAAAAGTGACTTATTTGTTACACATTTCCCTTTGAGGTGGCTTGGAAAAGTTATGTCCACCAGCAAAAGTTATAGGACTGTTTATACTCCTGCTCAAGAAGACAGTTTAATTTTGCACAGTTAAATCAAACCCATAAATTCTGCAAAAAACAATCACTTAATAGTGTTTTCTAAAAGTACTCTCCAGTTTGCCAAAGGCTGCTGAAGATAACCAAAAACAGAAATGGGGCAAGGAATGAGAAACAAAAGAAGGCACGGTTCAAATCGGCACACTCCCGTATGCCAGAGAAGACAAACAGGAGAAAAAATTAAGCACAAAAACAAACCAAAAGTGTACATCTGAATCAAAGAAAATCGGCACAAGCTGCCAACTCTGTTGTTGGAAATAATAATACAGGAAGTATGGGCACAAAAGTCGTACTTCAGAGCCAGGAGTTATGCTTGGAAAATGCATGTGTTCTTGCTTCCAGCAGCAAGTAAAACTGGGGAGCAACTGACTGGTAAACAAGCACTGTGAGATGATTTGATCTGGAGTCCAGCTCATTTTCAGCATGTGCTCTGAAGCTTGGAGGCTGCTTTTTACCCTATTGATTACACTGTCTTGTATAACAGAAGCATTCATCAAGGAGACTATTAAAAGCTGTCAAGTCTGATAAAAAAAAATACTACACAAAATAAACTTGCTCTTTCGTTTTTATCCACAGGACTGTGAGCAGCAACGGTCCCTGTATTTCGGTGAGCTCTTCTACCTGTGTGAACCCCAGATGCCAGCAGTCCCCACACTGACCCACTGGTACAGCAGCTCACAGACAGCGGGGCTGTAGTCACCTGATGCCTCGCTGCAGGCCTGGGCTCCAGGAGGGCAGCCAGCTGACATGCCCTTTGTTCAACATTCTCAGGCACTTGGTCATCAGAAAATAAACGAGGAGATCTCTGTGAGATAAGGAGGGAGGGAGGAATTAAATAAACCAGAGGGAAAAAAAATAAAAATAAAAATAAGTCCCAAAAGGAAAGCCAGACAAAAAGTATGAAATTCACATGCAGAGCAGTGAAAGAAGCTCCCCTCTGAAGACTGTTTTCATTTCTATTGTGTACTGGATTACTATTCTAATGAAGTGCTAAATGTTGACCTTCCAGGCCAGGAGAAAAAAAACAGCTGAATTAGACATTATTCACAGCTCTCCCACTGCTGCAACAAGCACAGAGCCCTCTCTGGCATTACCATCCAAAGAACTCCCACCACTCTACATCAAGATGTGGCTTTATCACGCACAAAGGAACTGATTCACCAACTCATTCCATTACAGTTCTTTTTTTGTCAAGGATTTCCTTTACACATCTAAATCCGCATATATTTGTGTTTCTCAGATCTTCTGCTCAGAAACACACATTTTTAGGGTAATGGTTATGGATAGTTTCCTTAAAGATGCTGGCAGTATATAAAAAGAGATTGCTGTACTTACCAACGAGAGGATGGTTAACGAGACTGGCTGGTTGATGCAAAGCATAGCAAAATCAAACTACCACAGAAGTTTCAACGCTGCTTCTGCACTTGTCTGAACTGCCACGTCAACACACCCCAAGCACAACATTTCTCACCTCTGCTATTCTGGTCCTTCGTATCAGTCTTGCTAACATGGAAAAAAGACCTGGCTTGCTGTGCAGAGCAGGAGTATCACTTGCAACACCATGTAGCCTTCAGCTAATATGTTTGTAGCATTCAAAAGTAAATGGAGCAGGAATTACAAGCGAGCATGAAGAAATCTCAGGCTTGATCTGTCAAGAAAGCCAGAGTGCTGCTACATGTTGTTAACTGTTCTTCAAAGCAGAACAGAAAACTGTGTTCACACCCAATCAGTGAGAAACACTTTTCCCATTCAAATGCATTAATAATACTATTTTCAGCTGCTTTCAGTTCCACCTACTCCTCTCTACTAGATCATTTTCACTAAAACTAGGGCCTATTATAAAGCTGTGGGTTCTGTGTCACTGCAGACACACGCTCATTCATTTTCCACTGCCTGTCAGAAAACATTCGGCCCACAAGTGCCTTTTGTGTAGAACACATTTTTGAAGTTGTAACAGTTTTATAGCTGGCTATCATTTATGACTTCATTCATTAAAAGCCTTTACTGGAACGTCAATTAATTTACCAATATGAATTCAAATCAGCTCGTTCTTTTGAATGCCTCTCTCTCCTTTTCCCATGCTTCTGCATAATACTGAACCACTTAGACAGCCCGTTGAATATTCCATTAATAAGAAGGCTTCAAAGTCTCCATACCACATAATGCCTCATCTTTGGCCTGTAGGAGGCAGGATGGAATGCCAGTTGTTTAACCATCCAGAAAGCAAGCAGCGAACACAATGCAACTGTGTTCGCATGAATTAGCACAAAACATAACTCTTCTTGTTCTGCTACAGCCATAGCATACTCCAATAAAGAGGTGTAAGAGAAAAAGAAGAACGGGAAGAGCTCAAGTGCCAAATACATGGCAAAATAAAAGCGTATAGCAAACTGTTGATGAAGGCTTGTTATGCATTTATGTGGGCATCACACAGAAATAGTCACTCCTAATTGCAGTTGCAGCGTGTTAACAGCAGCATTAGGTAAGTGTGTTTCACTACATGGTACATTTGCCTCCTGAATTGCACACATCCAACACGGCATTGTGTCATCAGCATCCATGCCATTTGTTCATGCTGTTTACCCTTTCCTGTCTGGGACTCTGCTCCCCAGGATATCCAGCACCAGGATCCCTGTATCTCTGCAGGCAACAAATTATGAGCTTAATAACAATCACAGACCAATTTTCTAGTCAAACAGACTTCGTCTTACTTTGTTGACAATGCAAGCAGCAAAGAAGTCATAATGAAAGATAAGTATTTTATTAAGAAGAATATTCTAAAACTGACAATAATAACTTGGCTCCCATAGGGAAGATTTAAGTCTCTTTCATATTAACTCATTTAACCACGGTTAGTGTAATAAAGATAGTAAGATACTCAATACAACTCATATTGTGATGTTAGGTCAAAGGAAGTAAATAAAAGATTAAAAGAAGTGGCAGAAAGACTCCATTAGCAGTGCAGAGAGAGAGTTTTTAAAAGACATCAGAGTAAGAAGGACAAAGATCCACCTGACTTATCATGAGGCCTTGGGCCAAGACAACTTCAGAAAAATAATAAGGGGAAAAAAATCTCTCCAAAGGCAGATCCCTCAACTGGCTCTAATGGATTAGCTCTGTAGCACAGGATGTACATATTCCTCAGAATTAAAAGGAGGAAGCTTCTTTTTTTTTTAGCAAAGAGGCACACAAAAATTTTCCTATGGGACACAACACAGAAAATAGTGAACACGTATTTGGACCCCAGCAGCAGTAAACTCTCATGACTGAACTAGGCAAGTGAAGGACAGGACAAACAAAACACTTGGAGAAGACAGGGAGGGGAGACAGCTAAAGGGTCCTCAGTTACTGAAAGCTCCTTTTTTCATTTGGAAAATGATTGCCCTTATAGTAGGTTGAAAGGTAAATTTTACCATTACCTTCACTTTTTTATCTGCAAACTTGAGGAAAAACTGTTGTTTTCTCATAAAATCTTAAAAAGACTTTGACAAGAGGAAGGCTGCTAAATATCACAATATCTAATGATACAATTCCCCATTACAGTCAATCCAGTTTAGCTGTGGATTTTGCCCATTCTACCCAGATGTGCATCCCTGAGTCCTTCCTTGCACCACACTGTCCACAGTGTGCCAGAAAAATAATTACTATTTTTGTTAGGACAGTTTTAAATCAGATCAACAAGCAGCCCAGATTTGTCTTGTGGGTGCAAGTCGGACACAGGAGAGGTGGCAGAGAACATATGGGTCAGAAAGAAATGACTCTTCTCTACTCTCCTTAAAGGTAACGTGCGTTTATAGGGTTGATAGGCAAACAGAAGATAAACATTATCAATCTTTGGGGAAATTTACTTGTGTAATTCCTATTGAATGTATGGGATGTCTCGGGAACTGCAGCTGCCATTTTATTACCTACAGATTAGTTCAAGGTTGATGAAGGAGTAGAATTTATTACTGCAGTAGGAAAATGAAACAAAAATAGATACAACTGAAAGAAGCAGGATGACTGTGTACAACAAACGAACAGGCATTTAAAGATTTCAGGTAATATTTAACTAGAAAGACAACAAATACACGTGTACACTCATCTGGCTGCACATGTATATGCTGTGTGCAGAATAAGGCTTACACTGAATCCAGACTAAGACAGACAGAATGCAAAGTCTTGTTGAGACAAAGGACTGAGCGTGGGGGAAACAGAAGGATCAAATCAGTCATATGCAGGGCACAACAGTTCAAAAAAGCACTTCATACAAGTAAACTTGAAAGAGTTTCATGGATAAAAGAGGAAATTCTCAGTCACACTTGTGTAAACAAAAAGCAAAGACAGAGAAAACTTGCAATTTCCATCTCTGAACTACTCCAAAAAGATTTAACTTCTGTGTAAAAAAAAAAAAAAAAGGAGTTTTTGCTTAGACAGAAGCAACCCATTGAATTTCTAAGCAGCACGTATACACTTTAAGGGTAGACCTGACCCTTCAGTTTCATTTCTACTTTGCTTCAACTCAAAACTGAAGAAGGCTACTGTGATTACCAATTACCCTACAGTGAAATCTCAGAACCTCCAGTGCATCAGATAATAGTGAGATAACACTATGCAGTGTGTCTAATGTAAGAGTTTGATGAAGCCTTATCTACATACGAAAAAAGGAAAATTGGAAATGTATTTATAAATGGGTTATCTGGTAATTGATTTAGTCACTTGTACAAGCAGTAATGAAGAGAGAGGGACAGAGCATGCAGAGGGAATCACCTGCAGCCTGGGATACGGTGGAGAGGAAGGTGGAGTGGAAGAAGAGAGCATGATCACTTTTTTGGGGCAGGTCCGAGAACGTTCCTTACTCCTCATCTTTTTTTAAAAAAGAAAAAGAAATAAAAAATCGTAATAGTGGTAGGAAAGCTAAGATTACATTTCCATTCATTGACTTCGGGAGGACAGGCCAGAATGCGTAAGCTGAGAGACTGCAATCTTCTGCTCACACCTTTTACTAATGATCTAAAGCCAGCTTTACTGAAGCTGAAAGAGGCAAATTTTTCTCCTGTGTTCACATGATCCCATGTCTGTTTGACAGAATCTTCTGTAGACAGCCAATAAACGTGTAGTTACAGCAATAACCAACTAAACCAACTGTTTCTGACCCACAGACAAATGTACAACTTGGAACTCTCAACAGCGGAATTGGACTGCACTTTTTGCTTCATAAAAAAACTACTTATTGCTCTGCTCTGCAGAGTTTAAAAACATCCATTGTGTTGACTTAATTACTCTTGTTTGCAGTTCATTAGCAATACAATTTAAGTCAAAGCAATCTGTTGTCAGCTTCAAATCCATCTTCTCTGCTTTGCAGATATTAAACCACCTTAGGTAAATTAAACTGCATTTTGCCATTCTCCTAGAACAGAAATACTGCTGCTTTAAAGGCAATATGTAGACATCTAGTAATTTGAAGACTGCACAATGCAGTATGTCCTCATTTTTACACACCAAAAGAACACGCCTTCATAGTTCTTTATGTCATTGTTATGGATAGTCTTTTAATGTATCTTCTGCCTATTCTTTTTACCAGAGCATATCTGGTAATTGTTGCACTGAAAAAAATAAATAAATAAATAAAGCTTGTGTACCTGGAACCACTGTTAGATAGCCTTTAAAGAAACAGCATGCTATTTAAAGATATACAGATGTTCATTATGGTCCTGACAGCTGAGCTGACACTAACATCTTTTGGGTGTTCTCTTCCCCTTCAGCAAAAAAGTAAATTCTAATTCAAACAGATGCTACAAGCAGCTTAAACTAAGCCACATGACTTTGCACTGAAGTGGATGAGGAACATTTATATGTTCAGCCTTGAAGGCACTAATTTCAAGCAGAAAGGCTGGCAACATTTTCAACCACTACAGCTGTTTGTAGACTGTCATCTAGCAACAGTGTAGTTTGCATTTCAGATTTCAGTATATTCACAAGGTTGTGTAATTTTCCACAGGAGATCATAATATATAGCATTACATAGGATGTAAGATCCATTCCTGAGCATGCAAATACAAAGATGGCTATAGGAATGAGGAATGAAAAATATATCAACATATTCAAATGAGAAATTAATTAGGAAAAACAGCATTGGTAATATAAGCTCTCTTCTGCTGAGATTTCAGCTCCAACTGACTGTGGCCATTTCATTCACTACATGTCTTCAAAAATCACAATTATAACAGAGAAGCATTTTTACTGCTGCACTTCTATCGTATTTCAGGGAACCACCTTGAAAGAACAAGCATCAGACCTCCAGAGGCAGAAGAGACCTGCATTATACAGCATGTGATTTCTGTAATACAAGCAACACATCAGATGTCTTTGCACACATCAGTGATTTCAGCTTGTGCATTACATTCTTCTTGTTGTGAGGACATCTCTGAAACCAGCAGAAAACTGCTGAAAACCGTAAGCTGAGAGTCTGGAAAATCAGGACAAGACTCAGTTTAATGGGCTAATCTCCCATACCATACCCAAACAGTCATATATTCTTCTGGATAGACTACATGGATAGGCTGGATAGGCTTCATGATCCCAGGTGAGAAGCTCAAAAAACATGACTGCCCAAAAGCAGTGAAAACGGAATGCGATAGTACACAATATGGAAGATGTTTTTGCACAGCAAAGAATTAATTTGAGATTAACCACCATACCATAAAACACAATCCAGACTTTTTAAGGGATACTATGATCATATAAGAACTTCCTCATATTTCTACTGTGCATGTACACAAACATTATCTTAATGCATTACTAGGTGCTGCTGAGGTGCTCCTAATAGCATGAACAAGCTTTGACAATACAGATGGACATTCTCAATGTGTAGTTCAACAAAGAAAATACTGCAGTTCAATTCATGAGGAAAATGCAGGCCACACTGAATACACAGAAGCAGACTGAAGAGGTTTCTAATGTTTCAAGGTTATGCCTTTGAAAGAGAGATAGCAAGAAAGTCTTGTGATGAAAGTAAAAACTGCTTCAGAATAGATTCTGCCAGGACTTAACGGAATTTTGTTGTACCAAGCCACCCCTACCCTAGCTCACAGAGACAATGCACACAGAGACACTCTGCATTATGATCTGATTGCATCGCTAGTCTGATAACTCTTTTAACTCTAGAGCAAAGCAAGATCTTAGACTTAAACTGATAAGCAAGTACAGCTAAGGAAATTCATCTGTCAGACAATGGCAGACCATAGCCTAAGGCAGATGCAAATCCTCCATCAAAACAGGTGATCCAAGATGCAGGATCAAACCTATCAATCACAGCATAGGAAACTGCCCTTCTCCCAAGAACCCCTTAGGACCTCAACTTCACCCTGCCTGTGGCCAAGAATATTAGGCAATTAGTTGTTTCCCTCTAAAGCAGGTCACTACTTTGCCTCCTTGAAAACCACTTTGCTCCTCAATAGAAGGCTTCCACTATGTGATACACATTATGCGGAGTCACTGAAGGAAGATTCTGCTTCTGAACACTTGATACCTGTGCCAAACAAGAGAACCCTTTCCCATACCTTCATGAGCAGCTCTTCCTAAATCAGCTCTTTACAGCAAACACAAATGCTTCCTGAAGAGTTTGTCAAGAGCCATACCACTCCATTATAGCATCTCCATAACATACAGGCATCCAGCACCAATTCCACTGCTGGTGATCTGTGGCCCAGGGAATAGTTTTGTAACTGGTGCTTAATGTTACCGTAGAAGGCTGTTCTAGTACTAGTAGTAACACAGTCTCACAGCTATCAGATTCCACATGCCTAAGCAACTAGAATTAGCAATCTCAGCAGTCCGCTGAAGCACTGCTTCAACAACAACTTCCTGCAGGATGGATTTCTGTCCCAGCTTAGCAGAACTGGCTACTTGGTTCACTGGATGGCTTCTAGCCTCTCCTGATCTCCCATGAGTCCAGAATAAATAGTTCCGAAGGCTTTTGGATAGAGACAAGTGATGTTCTTCATTTCCCCAAAAAGCCCTAAGGAACTTCTGGAATAGGGACATTATGAACTGTTTCTTTGATCCTAATTTTGCAAACTGTGCACCTTGGAGATCCACTTTTACTCTTCTACATTTCACTGTCAGATGAAAACCACTGCAAAATCCAGCATGAAATCTGTACCAAGAACCAACCATCTTCTGTTGACACAGTAAAGCTCATTTGAGGTAAGATTAGGCAAATACTTCAGGAGCAATCGTGAGTGGAGAAGTACCAAAGACAGCTGGCAATGTCATGTTAAATAAAAAAAAGTTATTGGAAAGTACAATAATTAAATAGAGCTTTTTCCAAGGATCTGCCCTATATTGCTATGTATATGGAGATGGTACCAACGTTGAGGGAGACCAGAGGACTTTTTTCTCTCCTTTTCAATAACTGTATAGTTCCAAACAAGAACAAAACCAAGAATAAACTACTTTTGAGAAGAAAATCATTATCAAAAAAATGGGAAACAAAAGTTTATCCTTTTTAATCAATTGCAAAAGGAAGATAATAAAAACTTCTGTGTTTCATCATAAAGACTAGATTACAAGGTCTTCATAAAGTTTCAACAGTAGGTTCAAATACAACTCTCAAGGCTGCAGGGATGGGATCTTCCTCAAGTACAAAATCACAAATCTTAATTCATCTGAACTGTGAAATACAACCAATACAATTTAGTTTTCCTTTAATTGTAAGGTAGAGGGCACCACAAGCAGTGCTCATCAATTGCACTGGTATTGTACAGCTAGCTACAATTCTTCTCCATCATTTCTCCCCTATATGGAGATGTACTCTTAAAATCTGAAATCTGTCTTAATCATGGATGATAAGCCACTTGAAAATACTCATTAGCTTATAAAGGAAATTTTGAAGAGAAGGTAGAAGAATAAACAAGTCAGGAAAACTAAACATAATGTCGACATTTTTAAGACGGCCCTAATGACAACAATTCCCCTTCTTCTTCGGAAAGAAATCTTCTAGATGATGGCACTCGAAAGAAATCTTGGCACTGGCCATGACGTGAAGCACTACTTGCACTGAATACCTTAAGCATAAAGTATACTATGAATCCATAAACATGCAGAAAAGTCAACTTCCAAAGTAAGGTCGTTTTCTTCCTCTTGACTCCAGAGTACGCACTGATTAAACTGCAGCCAGAAAGAAACAGTTGCTTCTCTAAATGATGACTGCCAGAAAAATGTATCTCAGCACTCTCAGAAACAAGAGTGTGATTTTCACAAGGAAAGATGGAAGCAGAAGGAAGCAATAAGATAAGTATCCTGTTTGCCTGACAGGACTGTCACAAACCTTGCTTTTGAAAGTGCGCTGCTGAAAAAAAAAACCCCACAAGTAATGACAATGAATCAAAATACACCGGAGAGAAAATAAAATATGATACCTACTGATTTTTCTTCTGTTGATCCATGTTCTGTCACTCTGTGTGGCAGAAAGTCTAAAATATACTTAATCTACAGTACTACAGGAATTTGCAATGCAATGAATATGATAAAGTGGTGAGGAAAGCTGGGTCACAAAGAAAGGGAAACCACAGTAACTGAAAAGTCTCTTCTAACTGGAGAACATGTAAGATTTCAAGTGAATTGAAAAACTGATAACCAATTTTACTTTTTATACTAACGACGAGCTTCAGTAATTACAGATTCCACAACACTTTTAATCTCACTGGCTGCAATAATTGCCTACATACTCTCTATTATTTTCCATAAGAATAATATAGAAATACCTCAGATGATACATCATCTGCATCTGCAGGCAAAGTTTCTTATGAAACAACCACTGAAGCCCTAGAAAGCTAGAACAAGCGTAACAGGCAGGCTTTGATTTTATTCATTATAAATTAAACTGTTAAAAATAAGAGACTCACATTAAAAAGATTGGTTTTGCTGGAAAAGGATTGGTTTAAAAAAAGGACAGTGAGAGCTGATGTTGGGTGCAGGCAACAGATCATATTCATAATCAATTTCTTTACCTGTTTCCACTGGGGTATAGGAGCTAGACGGCCCTGCTCTCGTCTGCTGGATGGTTGATTGTGAACACGTTCTTGATAAGGCAGGACAGGTTGCTGCATGCAGGTTGCAGGGCAAGGGGGTTGGGAGCAAGGGGGAATGATACAACAGCAACAAAAATTTGAAGAAAGCCAAAGAAATGGGAGATACAATCAGACAGACAAACATTTAAGAAAAAAAAAAGAGGGTAGGGGAGAATTCATTTAGCAAGTCATATATGAAAAGGGAGAAGACATTAAAAAAAAAAAAAAAGAGGGGGAAATGCACATTTTGTGGACCTGCCCTTTGTTTTCATTGTTTCTTCAATTCAGCCTGGTTATTCTGACAGCACGCAGTGGCTAAGGAAACATTTTACTGGTAAACAGTAGGATAAATGTCACCATTTTGAGATTATGCTATGCTACTAACAGTGGTATGCAATGTAGCATATGTATACCTAAATTCAACTTAAAGTAGTTAGATAAGGTCCCATTCACAATCTGGCCACAGCAGCTCAGAGTTTAAGTATTAAGATGAAGTAACCATTAGAGCAAGAACTCAGGCACTTAAACCATACTGAGCCTTGTACTGCTGATGCTGCACTGCTAGCAGTATCTTGAAGTGACTCAACGTAACTTCAGATATGACTACCTTGCAGTTGCAGTAGTTCAGATACTGTACTGAATAACCAGCAGTCGTCAGAAAGCCTCATTTGAATTGATAGAAACGTTCTGACTGTGAAGAATCTCCCAGGTATTTACCTGCTATGCTTATGTACAGATAGAAAACAATCACAGTTCACAAGCATAAACACAGAACCTGATAATGAAAATCTTAAAATTAGAAACTAAATTAGAATTGTTAAAGGTTAGAAATGGGATTTTCCTGGACAGCTTTTCCAACAGCAATAGCAGTTATAAAAGAAATCTAATTACTGGTGAGATATTTTTAAAAGAGATTATAAAACATCATACTGGCAGTAAAGGGAAGTGGACTTTCATAAACAATTTAATTTTTTTCTCTACTGAGTAACCTTCACTCCTCCCTAGGAGAGCCTTTGCAGTAGAAGGGCACCACTAGCATCCACTCTTAAGGAATGAATGTTATTACTCACAATTTTCTGTCATGACTCCAAACTACTAGGATTTATTGACCATCTCTCCTACCTGTCTTCGTAATGTTGAGGATTGTACTGGTGCATTCTCCTCAAACTTGGCCAGTAGCTGGGTTGCCATGGACTTGACTTTGTTCTGATTCCCAATGGCAGCATCAATTCTCCTCTCTGTCAGGGCGCTCACCAATGTAGGTCTTTCTTCTCTGTAGCTTCGAGGAATGTCCTCCTACCAGTCAGTGAGACCAACATTTAACAAGTACATCCGAATCACCTTTTCCACTCTTCCTCTTTGATGTACTAGGTTTCTACACTGTAGAAAACAAATCTGCCATTCTGCATTTAAAAGCTCGCATTTTAATTTTCTTTGGTATGCCATCAACAGCTCTGATAAACCTCTCTCATTTTTCCAACCTTACTTGATACATTTACCTACCAAAGACACCACAGTTGAAACACCCTCATAAATCCGCTGACGTAAAGCAAATGGATATCATCACAGCTTCACTGACAATTCCAAGTATTAAAATTTAGCTCACTTATACCTGTTTGGCTATAAGCACTTGATCTGAAAGACTACCTTGTGGAGAATATTGGATATGTATGCATTTTGCATGAACTGAGACTGCAGATCAAATATGAATGAAACTTCCGATTCCTGAATGACTTTACTAAATTTTATTCATGGTGCACTCATCAAATCAAAGTAAATCGCAGTAAAAATAGAATATGAAGGAAATGCAGTATTTCATTTCTAGTGTACTCTCATAAGCATCAATAAAGTATTTTCCCTACAAACAGAACAAAGAATAACCTTTCAAGAAGAATTTTTATTTAGAAATCCTCAAATAAGACCTATCTGGTTACAGAAAATAAAAGGATTGAAATGAGAATGAAGAATGTACCATATATATTTTTCTCCTTTACACTTTCCTCATTGTAATACTTACATCCTCAGATTGGCTGGTTTTCCTCCTCTTTCCTGCACCATCCAATTCCTTTTCTTTTTTGTCCTGAAAAGAGAGGGAGGAGGAATGAAAACAAGGATAAAAACTCTCATATATTTTTGGCCTGAGGTAAATTTAAATGTCATCGGTGCACTCAAGCTTTGCAACACAACTAATTAATTCTCTAAGGTAATTCTCCATCTGTTTAAGGAAAGGGTTTGTTGTTGCTGCTGCTTTTTGTTTGATTTTGTTTGTTTGTTTTTCCCTTTATTTTCCTTAGGGATTTCTAGCATTCATATTGAAAGTCTACCTGATTGAAGTATATCCCCAAATTCTTCCAAAAAGCTAAGATTTTAAGACTGATATATCACAAACTGAGAATGCACATTACCAGTGTAATTCTGCAATTATAAAGGTCATGTATTGTCAAGAGCTGATGAACATCTGGTTTTCGGTAGATACATGGCAGACAGACATATTCATTTCTAGTACCACCTACTTGGACAGCAGCCTAGCAAACACAAGTGTTATCAGGCCTGTGGTATGGTTACCTTTGGAGTGCGTTTCCGAGATATACTTTGTCCCAGTTTACTGAGAAAAGAGATTGGAGATTTGGTACTGGCAATTAGGGCGGCCTTTTCTTCTGCATTCAGATCCACACTATCTGTAAGTAGAAACAGGTCAGAGAAGAAATGCCAAGAAATTATTTCCAAAGTGCTGTTATTAAATACATAACATAATGCTTTCTTCATTTTGCCAAAATCAATTCTCCCTCTAGGTTTTACAACGATCCAGAATACTGTGTTTGTTCACTTCCATATTTGAAGAGCATCATCGTCATCAGTATTAATAAAATGAGTTCAGAGTTTTGGAAATAACACCTAATCGATAACACACTATATTTTTTAAAGGCTATTAAACACATCTTTTTTCATCAGAATTATATACTTTAATATCTTAGGACATTATAAGTTCATCAATAACAAAAAAAACCCAAACCAACAAAACAAACAAAAAAATTACTGCATGATTAAGACTTAGAGATGGACAATTTTCGCTTCTGCTAGGCAATTACATTCTTCAGTTATAATCTGTCTTTCATTCCTGCCTCTCATTGGCCTGGAGTTACTCTCACCATTCATGGATGGTAAATAACAGCTATAAACCTTGGCCAGAGTTTTGAAATTACCTACTAAAAATTTACTAACAAGGCATCTCACATTAGTGAAGACTGATGAACCCCTAATAACAGCAAGAAAGCAGAGAAGTTGCCTAGTAGTGCTGAAGTGATTTTAAACTTTTGAAGACATTAGTTTATATTTATTAACTCCTCTTTTTGCTCCTGATATTGCTAACATGGTTAGTGGCAAAAACAATATCAACAATAAGAAGGTAACTTTTTGTGGAAAAACCATGAAAATAACACATATTCATTCTGCATCTGTCTTTAAAGATCATAGACTTGTAAATTCCTTACCACTAGAAGGGATGGTGTCTTTGAACATCTCATAGAACTGCGTGAGGTACATCACCATTGAAAGTTTATCTGGTTCCCCGACAGATGCCATTTCCTTTCCAGTCATAATGGGAGATATTCCAAACTCTTTTTCAGCAATGTCAAAGGCCAGCTGGTTATTCTTCTCCACATTGTGTTCATCCAAAGAATCAAAGTCTCTGCAACAGGCAGGAAGAGGGTGCGCAATGAATCAAGTGGGAACCAGTCTTCCGAAAGGATTCAGGTATTGTATTTTTTTAAAATCTCTCAAATTTACTTGCCAACAAATTCTTTTGTATTGTAGAGTTGATGAACTTTGCTCAAACTTTCTCTGTTTTTATTCGTTACTCTTTTAATACATCTATTTTTTTTTCCCTTTTAAGAACCTACTGGTACCTCTGCCAGCGTTTTCCCGATCTAGAATGGGGCAGCTATTTTACCCACTGCAAAGTTTACAGGCACAACTTTTCTGTTCAGACAGTGAGTCACTACTTCTATAAGGGGCAGCCCCAACTTTAAAAAGAGTTACTGTCAAAAAGGAGATTATGAAGGCCTGTGTAGAGACTTGTTCATTAGATATTTAACTGAAGCCATCAACTATTCCTGACTAATTCCACAGAGAGAAGAGTTTTTCTGACAGTAAAGCATTCTAGTCTGTAGCAATTTGAACTTTCATTCTGTCAAATCATCCATAAAGGAAAATGACAACATGTTTACCTTCATATTCATTAAGCTATTACAACCTTCCACTCCGCTGGTGAATCACTTGTACATTAGCTTCCATCAAGCTTAATTGAATTCATTTCAATCCATTTCTTCATTAGTCACAAATGCATTGCCTCACTCTCAGTAGTACTAGTTTGAAATAAAACTACTATTCTGCCCTCCCCAAATCTTCAAAAGAGCAAATTACTTACATTAAGTCTGGACGGTATCTGTGGATAATGGCACACAAAGCTAAGCCACTTTTCCATGACATCGTGAGATCTGTCACATTTACACCAGCATACCCATCTGTCTGCCTCTGGCACCAACTGAGCAATTTACTAGAGCGAGCTACAGACTCTGTAAGAAATCATGCTGTTAAGTAGAAACACACAAAATCTCTTTTCTGAATTCTAACTACATCATAAAAAATACAAATCAACAAATAAAACTTTCATGTAAAGGATAAGCTCCTTCTACAACAGGCAGCATGGGACAAAACTACTGTTGTTTTTTTAAAGACTATCACATCTAATTTAGATGCAAGAAAGGATTTTTTCATTCGCTAAAAAGTATTTACCTAAGTTATAACTTGACATAATTCATCCTAAAAGAGCCCCAATAATTATAAAAAAAAAAAATCACAAAGGCTTGTTTTAAACATGACCTAAAGACTATAGAGTAGTACAATATTCTCTGAAGCCCAGATACACTATTTCTAATGGAAGAACTGCAAAAGTACTTTTGCAAGTCTTTCTTTTCTATTGAAAGTTTTCCATTAGAAGTACTGACCTATTTTGACCTTGCTTTAATGCAAGATCTGACAAGACTACAGTCTAAAGGGATATGGTTGCAGGCCAAAGAACATATCCAAAGACTACGTAGATTTTGAGCAGCAAAAGGAAGCTCAGCAGCAAAGCACTATTGAGGGAGTCCCCAAACACTATCTGGACAGAATAATGCAAGTAAAGTGATATTTCACATAATTAAGATAGGAGATGAGATTAACTAAAGAAAAGTATGACCATGAAAGACTGTAATAGACATAGCTTCTGTTATTTTTATTAGAATTTTGCATTTATGATTGGAGCAAATTCAGAATAGCCTTCTGCACTTTAAGTAAGGTTATCGTTATAGGATAAAAGACATGAAGAAAAATACTTGTATAAGGAAATATGCTCTAAAATTTTAACAGCATTATAGAGGAGGGAAATTAGGCAAATAGAAGTATATTTGCATGTTAATTGAAACTTGAATGACTAGAAAAAAAATTCAGATTTTTGACAAAATAATTGCTTTATCTAAACCAAAAGAAGCTGGCTAAACAATACAGCACAGCCCTGTTACTCTATGTGCACTGCCCTGATGCAGAGTCTGAATATCAAAAGGAATGGAGCAGTAACCAGGCCTACCATTCCGAGTCAGCTTTGGTGTCCTGGAGTTCACAAAATTCTCTATTTCTAGGTGTATGTCTTTCAAATCTCCTGTATTATACAAGTGGCGTACCTACAATGATACAAAAAATTAAAAGTGATCAACACCCAATGGATACAGAAAGAGCAGGAGAACAAGCAGCAGCTATCCCAAGGCAAAAGAACAAGTATTCTTATGTAATAGAAATCTCTAGCCCAAGAAGTCCAGAACAAGGAACAACTTGTCAGTACTGAACAGTCTAGCTGACTGATGCTGCTCAGTGGGTACAAGACTGCAATCATAAACTGGTACTAGAAAACGCAGGCAAAATCAAAAATACAACTGAATTAAAACCACATTTTTAAGACTTCAAAACTTTAAACAAAATAGGAATTTTGTAAAGAGGTCAACTCTTGACTGATATATCTGCATTTCACTGTTTCCAAGTTATACTGCCACAGTCAGGTCACTATCCCTAAAATACTAGCATTGTTTCACCTAAGAAAAGACAGTGCAGAATACAAGCATTCAGAAGCATCACTTCCCTCCAGTTACCTGCTGTGGCCGCAAGAAGTTGACGTTGATATTGGGATACCGAGTGGCTGGATCAATGCTATAATGGCTGAAGTTTTTACTCACATTCTCAGGGGTGGTCTGAGGCAGTAGTCTATAAATGCTTTCCCTTGGAAAAAAAAAAATAATCTTTTTATTTTGTGTTTGTTGGGTTTTTTTAAATAGAAAAGATGCAATGCTATTAATACCGCTAAATCGATTCTGGAGAGAAAAAACTTCAATAGCTAAGAATTCTCATGCATGTATTTAAATTTGCAATATAATCCAACTCCAAAAATCAAAAGGAAGGAAGAAAGTAATACACTGACCACAACTAAAGGGCTTCCCCAGTACAGGAAAACACTGACACTCTGAAATGACTCAGAAAGAAGGCTACAAAGGGGACTGGAGTACTCAGCCTGTGGGGAGAGGCCAAGGAAAGTGGATTTGGCCAGCCTGAAGAAAAGAAAGCTGAGGAGAGATCTTATTGCTCTCTGCAAATGTCTAATGATGTCTGGCAACAACTGCAACATCATTAACTTCACCATTTCTCAAAATTCAGAAAAGCAGAATATTAAATATTTAACATGGAGTTTAAAAAATTATACTACAACTCCTAATAGAAGTTGCAGTTGTTTAAAATAGCTTCTTACACATTGGTTAAACTTACTCCATTTTTTAAAAACTCAAGTTGTGATTCTAAGCAATGACCTTATGTCACCAGAACAAGCCTCACCAAAAGATGATAAAAACATCAAGAACATGATACTCCAAAGAAAGAAAAAAAGACAAGACATTCTTTGGCTCACATGAAACAAAGTGACCAATTATCTGAAATACAAAACGGGTCATAGCTTCTTTAAGAGAAAATTGTAAAAGATATTTACAAGATAATAAGGGAGAGCAAAAATTTTTCTCTCTCTTTTTAAAGGCACCTTCATTTGGTTTGCTTTTGCAATGCTTATGACAGTAAATTAGGCTCACTTTCTCTATATATTACCAATAAGCACCAAGAAGAGACTCTCCACCTAATCACTTTTGTACAACTAGGACCAAGAACAGCTGCAAAATTTATTTTTTCTTCTATTAATATATTTTAGTTTATCAGCTGCTATGGATATTTTTCTTTAATTCAGTTATAGCTACAAGCACCCTCTAAAAACAGCAGGAATCTGTATCTCATATTTTATCTATGTATTTGTACTAGAAGGGACTAGAATGAATGACAAGATATTGGAGGATTAGATTAGAACTCAAAATGCAAGCATTTTTTTTCTATTACCTCTCTGCAAGAACTTCCAAAGGACTTGCTCCAAGTGACCAACTTCGTACCATCCAAGCAGAGTCCATTGCAGCTAAAAATCCTCTCGCTATTCCAGTTCCCATTGGCCAAAATGGCTAATATTATAGTTTACAAAAAGCAGATGAGAAAGGAAAAGCATCAGTTAGGGAAAGCTTTAAATTAATATCAAGAATATAGTCAGGGAATAATCTGCTGAGAAATTTTAGCTCAGTAATTAACTTAAAGCTCTACTCCCACTGGGCTAGAGGAAGCCAGACACATCATGAATTGTCCATGAGGACTCCAATAGCCAAACTCTCCTCTATTTCCAACAACAGTTCATTGTCTAGAGTGCCTTAAAAGCTACTTTTCAATACTGTACTTTTTAAGCAACTATAAAATGCTAATTATTAACAGGCTTAGAGTAGGTTCCCATACAGAGTGTAATTGCCTCAATAAGAAGCACATGGAACAGATATAATTTCAGAGACATTTCTGCACATATTTTCTTAAGCAAGATCGTTTCCATACTAAACATTCTGTTTTCCCAGAACTCCTACCCTTCATTCAAATCTCTTACTTTGTTATACAATAAACAGCAGCACACCAATTAATAACTATCTTATAGACAGTGCATATTTCAGTGATGGGTGCAATGGTTTGTACTTATGCTTCAGTAAGTCTAAAAGACAAACCTCCAAGAGACTGTCCCCAACCAGTGCCACAAGTAACTGGTGGCCGTTCTGCTCCCGCACCAGTGCTGCATTCTCTGAAGCATACATGCACGTGAAGTCAAACATTGCCACATCTGGCTGCCCGTAGTGGTTGATGGCGAAGTCCAGTGATGGCAGCTGCTGATTAGTGGAAAAGTCAGCTGCTTCTCTGGCATAGTTTAGCAAAGCTTCCTGGTCCACGTTCTCCCGTGAGAGTAATAATTCCGTATCAGCATAATCCTGACAAAGAGAAACAAGTGAAAGTGAGACAGCCAAATCCACAAGGTTATATATATATAAAAGTTAGCATTAAATTTTATACAAATCCACTGATAAAGGTCTGCCCTTTGATTCTTACATTCCTAGCAATGTGTATAATTTGGACGAAAAATCTCTAAATACTACTGGCATTTCTGAGTGTGAAAAGGCTAAGAAACTTCTGAGCTTTTCACTTCACACAAAAGGAGCAAGACCCCAATCTTTTTGCATTCACTTGTAGATAAACTATTTTTGACATCTGACATTTGCTTCTGTCAGAATTAGACACAGGTAAACTTTCTTTATTCTTGTTTTTTTTATTTTATAAATGAAAAGCCCAAATAAGCCAACAAAAGTTATTTTTGTGTACTTTTTCTTAGCATGCACAAAACCCCCACACTGACAAGTTTAGATTCTTGTAACACTCTAATAGCTGAAAATGCTTCAGAAGGGCATTAACCACAAATGTTTGTGTTCTAAAATACATCTGTATAATAACATTATGCGGTGCAAGAAGAGTGTTCTTTCAGTGTATTAAAAGCAAAATTTTCCCAAATCTTATTATATAAAAAGTTAATACCCACATGTCGTATTACGCCTTTATCCAGCAAGCTCTGTTTTTTGGCAGTCATGACAAAGTAGTGTGTATCATCCTTATAGTAGACGATGTTCTCTAAATCAATACCTTGTGACAGAACAAAAGATAATGAAGGAACAAGCAACAAATTAGCTCTATTGAAAGAAAGTAAATTGAAACTATATGGTTAGAAGATCTTAAGAGAGAATGTCAGGCAGCCTCCTTCCATGCTTTCAATGAGTTTAAAATCTGTATCTTCAACAAAACCAGAAACAGAGCATTTCAGCTGTACATAGCTACCTCTTTTGAAAAACATATTTATCATCACACTAATTTTTGTATTCAGATGTGGAATGCAGGAAACAAAACTCAGGATTCAGGCTTCTCTTATGAATGGCTCATATTTCCTGAAAATCCTTAGGGAAAGAAATTCTGAGCAAAAATGACACACATTTGAATGATACACATCTGCTTTGTACGGACGTAGAGAACAGCTGTAAAAATGAGGAAAGTTAGACTTCAAAGCGAGACAGAAATGACTGACTTCCTTGCACACGACTTTTGTTTACTGACTAAATATTGTGATACCTGAGTTAGAGAAGTTGTAATAATAAGGACAAATAGCTTTAACTGGAAATTTGACAATTGCTGACATACCGGTGGCTTCTCGTAGATCCTGGAAGAACTTCTGGTTGAATATGAAAGCCACACCACTGATCTCTTCTACTTTGGCTTCAGCTGTGGTGTTACGATTGATGAAGTTTGCTGTGATAGCAATTGCTAGTTTACCACGGAACTCTTTTCGGCGAAACCCTACAGGAAAGATAAAGGAGCAGCACTGAAAAACAGAGCATAGTTTCAGAGAAGGCTCAGCACACCGCAGACCGGTGCCCTCAAAAATAAAGGAGGTTGGACCTGATGTATTACGAAATACTATGCCAAAAAAGCAAAAATTGCTTCATCTGAAAACTAAATGTTCTTGTTTAGGAAAAAAGCTCCCCATTCTTTCTTATCTCTTTCCCTAAAACTGCAACTCGCATAACAAATATTAAGAGAAAATTCTCTACTATACAGTAGTACATTCAATGCTTTCAGCTCCTACTCCCAAAATTGAGTTGCAACACTATGCAGCTAAGGAAAAACTGTGGGAAAGATTATTCAGGTCAAAATACCTGATTTTTGTGCTAATAAATAGGAAGAGGAAAAAGACAACTCAAGTGCCTTTGTTAAGCTTAGATTTCTACATGGAGTTTTTATTTCCTTTATAACTAGTCAAATGTCTAAATAATGATTGGGATTTTGAAGGCCACTTTTGTTCCTATACTCTAACTAATTTAAGAATTAGTTGTAGTTTAAAGAATTATAGACACATTATTACCTTCTAAAGTGTTCCTTCTGCCATCCCCTCCAATGATCACTTCAAATTCATACTCTGATACTGGATGGGTTTTTGGATGGACCAATGCACGCCAACCTATTCCTGTCAAAAAACTCTAGATTAATGACAACATAAAACAGTGTGCATAGTAGAACAGACGTATAAAAACACTTTTTGCCATCCATAAACCCTTTCTTACATGGTCAGTAAAGATATACTGCAGGATAGCTATATTACTGACAGGGCTATTGCTGACTTTCATAACCACTCCACACATATCAGAGAATGCACTGTGGTAGGCAGAGAGAGCCCAAGTAAACCTTCCCTGATTATTTTCAATGATCACTAAAACCTTTATAGGTTCTTTATTAGGTATTCAATTAACAGGATGCCAAAAGACAAGCAAGCCACCACTTCCCACAGTGATCAGACAGCAGGTTTCACAAAGATGCAAAAAGCATAACAAAGACCATTTGCTGGTATAAATATCCTCAGTAAACACAAAGAAAGGAGTTGCTTTAAAAAGGTATTTCTTAATTGTAATAAATAGGCTTAAATATGTTAGGAGACACTAGGAACTACTGTGTCTTAGATTATTTTTGCTTAGTACTTCAGGTGATTTTGTTTTACTAGAAAGAAAGCTTATAAAAAACTCATGCAAAAGTCTGTTGAAGATTACTGCCATTAATGGAATATGAGAAAAGAAGGAGTTATAACATTAAGGTGCAAGAGTCTATGCATCTGACCATAACTCCCCCTTTCTCTACAACCCATTTCAACACTACTTGCTTTCATTTTCCTGATCCTCCGGAGGGTAAACAAGCCCTTGAAATTCCACGTTGACATGGATTTCTATTCCTAAGATCAAGGCAACCTTCAAAAGGATAAGCTGGAGTTGACGGATACCTGAAAAAAAAAAACAATGATAAAAAAATAACAGAAGAAGGAAAGAGCACAAGTACACACATCTCTGTTTGACATTACTAATAAACTGATTTAAAGGCGAGCTGCTGCTTTCTTCTTCCCACTGTGTTCTCAGCACTTCATCCAGGCAGCACTGGTGGGTAATAACACAGCATAAGAAACTCCTGTATAGCAGAAACTGCAGCCCTTCTCAAAGAAGGTAAATACTTTTTTAATGTTTCAGTCTCAAAATCAGCAACAAGGGAAACAACTAGAATATGCACTGCAGGAGAGTCAAGGAAGAGAGCACAAGCAAGACCGACTGTCCTTCTGTCACAGATGGTAACCAGCCATTTGATCAACCTGTAATGCTGAGATGCACCTCAGTGCTAACACTACTGGGTTAATGAGGGAATATTAAGTTTCTCATCACCTTTTTCCATTTAAGTCAGTGTAGGAAACAGGTATGAAAGCGACTATGTGCAAATCTGGAGGGAGAATACTAATTTTAAGGAGGAAACTTCATTGTCATATTTCAGATACTGAAATGAAGAAATACTCCACCTAGAAACTAAATTTCAACTGTGCTGAGACACAAAAGAAAACAATATAAAGTACTGGAAGAATAAAAATAAAGGGAAAACAGAAGAGAAAAAGTTGTAAGACTGAAGTGATAAAGGTCCTTCTGTTTCTACCAGTCATTTTCCTTCAAAAAAGAGCAGCTTTCACATTGAACAAGAAGTTAAATCTTATCTACTACTATTGTGCCAATTTATACTTCCATTTATGCCCTGAGGTGAACAGAGACTGATGGGCACTAGAGTGCTTGGTAAGTTTTTTTGGGGAAAAAAAATAAATTGAAAAATGGCAATTTCTGCCCTCAGAAAGCAGAAGCTATAAAAGATAACAGGTACACTAAAAGATATATATTACATGTTTGATCATGCCATGGCACAATCTATTTCTTTCATATTATACCATACTGACAAAAGAGCAATGACAGGTGCAGGATGTATTTTCATGAGATGCTCCATGCTTCAGCCACCACCTTTTTCAAGAACAAGTGCTGCCATGCCAAGCAGCAGCTGTACTTACTGATATGGTCTATGGATCCTGCACAGAATTTGCCATAAAACTTCTTGGCGCCAAGACCCCTCAGGTCATGTATGGTGAATGGCCACAAATGTAGAACATTATTGCGGGAAAAGGCATCCCTCTTTTCTATGACCACCACCTTGGCTCCCAGGAATGACAGGTCGATGGCTGTACGAAGGCCACAGGGTCCAGCCCCAATTATCAGACACTGCAAAACAACCAACCACAAAGTAACTGTATGGTTCAAAGAGGAAAAGGGTATCTTCAACCCTTCTTTTAAGGGATTAAGACCATAGCATGCTCTCCAAGCTATGTAAGCACCTGGAAAGCAGCAATATTTCTGATGGTTTCTCTCTCCAGTTCCAACCACGTCTTTTCTGTTTGTAAGAAAAGGTGAAGTAGCCTTTTCTTCCCATCTCCCAAAGCCTGAGTTAGCCTTTTTCAGAAAATCTTCAGGAACGCTGGAAATTCCTCATCAACACTGAGCAGCACAGCAATGGTTCAGGCAGATAAATGCAAAGTTTTTACACACATGATCATTTAGATTAGCATAGACGGCACTCTGACTTATACCCATGCAGATGTTTCTAGTATTGCAGCAAAGGAACCTCCAAGGTAAGTAAATACAATGTAAAAGTGAACTTTGTGTAATTAGACCTTTTTTATCAAAATACGTTTTCTTCACTTTAACCTTTTTCAGATCAAAGGTATTTCATCTTCTCCCATCTTTCTCCACTCTATTCACAAACACTTTTAGAGGCTAATAAACGACTTGAGAAACACTTGCATATCCAGTGCTGGAAGTACTTCTGAAGAAACAAAGGAACACAGCAAGATATTTTATTTCAAGATTAAAAATCCAAGATACTCAACTGCCCACAGAAACTGAAGTCCACAGAGAAAGCTGGCATGTGTGTATTCACATTAATATAGTGCATAGTCCATTTTGTCATATCAATTTTGTACTGGTTTTCTATTGATCATGAACCAGACACACTGGATAAAGACTCACCAACGTGGTGACTGTTTCTGCCATGTGAATATTTTCCAGATCCCTAAGTACCCTTACAGCTGGAAAACAAAGCTCTCTAAGAAATTCTTAAGTATGCTAAAACTTCATCAGAACCTACCCTTCTGATTACACAGCCTATCCCAAACAAAGCTCTTTGTTCTCTGACAGTCCCCATAAGCCAGTTTGTACAGTTCCCCACATTTTCAACTTGCTGTTCACTGGATTACAGATTCTTCAAATGACGTGAAAATGCAAATACAAAGCCTGAATGATAAATAAAAGAGTACAGTTTGCAACAGTAAAGAGTTAACAACTAACATGCAAATGCTAAACAAGGCTAATGTATAAAATAACAAAGCATATAAATCTGAGAGCAGAGATGCAAGTCCAGAGAAAGGGAAGGATAACAGCAGTTTATTTAGTGGCTTTGGGAACTTGAAGACATAAATACAGAATTCCGACCACTGAGGTATTAACAGTACAATTAAAAACCAGACTTACATACTGAACGGGTGTCCAAGTTGTAATTTGTTAAAAGCAATAATCAATTAGGAACTACTGCATTCTTCCAATTCAATATTGTTTTCTTTGTGGTTAAGTGTAATTCTCAAACACCACTTAGTCTTTCATTTTTTAACCTTGTAAGAGAATGAGCTGAGTGTGTCGTATTTAAATAGGTAATTTATCTAGGGCTTTACATGTTCTGGATCCAAAATACAATACACAGCAAAGCAATTCACGACAAAGGTTGCCACCTTTTTTTTTACCTCCACAAAAATATTAAATGGTGCTGCTATAAAACACAGCAAGCTTTAAGCACGATTAAAAACAGAAGAAAAGACTCTGTTCCCCTTTTTACCCCTACTGACTCTTCCAGTTTCAGATCTCTTGTAGAAACCTAAGTTCTGATATTTGCATGGGCGGCGATAAGCATGAAACCTTAATCATTGCCAAGTAACTGTCGTCCCTTCTTCCTTGGCTCCACAATGACTCTAAGCAACTGCTACAGCTCTGTGCACTGAAGCAGTCTCACTCCTCACAATCAATTCTTGCTCAAGATCTTTCAGATAAGTTATATTCAGTTTCTAATAACAACACCATGGTAATGTAACATTAAATGCAAACAAATCCTGAGTTCTCCAGTTCTCGAGTGGAGAATTACCTTTCTGTTCTCTTTTGAGCTGCTCAAGCTAAATAAATAAAGGAGCTAATATAAATTTTTTGTAACTATTTACATTTGGACAAATCATCACATCCAAGTCTTGCTTTCATGAACTATACCCCCAACCATCTGAATTCCAGTTAACCTGGACACTGGCCATGTGATGCACCAAGTACCAGTTCTGGCTGAGATACTTCACCCCAGCATGATTCTAAATAGACAAGCAGCAATTAAACTCTAGAGAATGAGATCTTCATATGATCAATACAGAAGCTTATCTTAGTAAAGAAATAACTGACAGCAGTTCTAAGAATATGGGTAAAATTCTGATCTTTGTTTTAAATTCTATCATTTCCACACACCCACCTTAATTTCTGTGTTGTATTTTTTTTTAAATTAGTGTTTGCAAATTACATTAAAAATTAGGAATATGAAACTAAGTAAGATGGGAAACATCAAATCAGAGATGATTCAGTTCTCAAAAGGTCTCCACTTTGAATAGTTGTGTTTACCTCCTACGAATTACAAATTTAATAGCAGAACTGTTAGGGTCGGAAGCAAGTAATTAACAAAGATATATGAAAAATATGAAAAAATACACTTGAATATCATTTCTTTACATAAAAAAGCAACAAAGTTTGTATTTAGTGGCATACAAAAATCATTTATCATAACAAGTACGTATTCTTCAAGCAATTTTGTAGCAAAAATTAATTTTTGAAACAATTTCCTTTCCTCTCAGCTGGCTGAATTCAATACTCAAAATGACTGGAATCTGAAATCAACAGTTCTGCATGTTCCTGGATTGGGACATGTAAGCATGAAATTTATTTAACTTATCCACCCTTTTTAGTTGCATTTCAAAAGAGCATTTCACCAGCAGCTTCTCAGTAACACTGGTAAATAAGACTTCCCTCCTCTTCCTCTTTTCTTTCACTCTCCCTCCTTGCCAAATACACATAAGAGAGCTGCTATGCAATATGCCCTTTCCTTCCTTTGGTTGACCCAGTTCAGTGTGAATTCCATTGACCAACACTACCTTTCTGCCTTATTGTTTTCATAGTTGATCTGCATTCCAGCTGTTAACTATAATTGGATGTAACAATAATGAACATTTTGAGGAAAGCATTATTTTCACAAGACATAGAACAATGCACCTTGATCTGATGGTAATTATTATGGGTGTTATTGTAGCAATTACTTATAAATGTCACTATCTATACGAAAATTGCAATTAGGAAGTGAAACAATCAAGGAAATAACATAACTTTATAATATCTACCTGGAAAGTAAACCTGAGTCCACCTATCTGAAATGACCCATTATATCCCAAATAGGATATATTTTCCTCTCAGTTCTCTTCTATTGGAATTAGTATTTAATTCTTTCTGCAGAAAGTTAGCCTTAGGTTAATGTACAAGAGAAAGAGAAGCACCAATTGTCCTAAGTAAAGGAGGGGAGAATCCTGTTCTAATTTTATCATAGTCCACACTATCTTTCTTCATTTTTTTAAAGGAAAAGTATATGATCACTTGAGAAAACAATTTATTCCATAAACATTTTGATGACATAAATGTATTACAGTAACAGAATAATAAAAAAATAAAGCCCATACTGTAGAGTTCAACTAGGCACACAGATATCAGCTCACAACAACCCAGGTAAAATAAACTGGAGAAAGTGAGTGAAAGCAGGAATTCCTTACAGTAAATATCAACACATATCAATCCTTTTAAATGAACTGGTATGAGTTTCCACAGCATTTGTATTTTAGTGGGTTGATTTTTTTTCTCATAAATACAAGCAATTGCTTTCTAAATAACGCTGAACTGAATATTTACAGATTTGGCACACTTTGAGAGTAGTGAGAAATTTCCAAATGCATATATTGGGTATCTAGACTCCAACAACAAATTTCATATCCTAGCTATTATCTTGTGTTTCAAAGTAAAACAAAATAAAATAAAATTATAATTCAACCTCACCTATGGTACTGATGTCGCAACATAGAACATAGAAATCTGCAGACTGATTCTCCTGAATAAACTGCAAATATTCTGGCTTTCCACTTAGCTTCCCCTTTCCCTGTCCAGGTGAACAATCAAATTTGGTAGATGCAAACAGAATTTTCATTCAGAGTAAAATGAAAACAAATGGCTGCATTGTAAGTAACATGGATGAGAACATTTCTGAATCCTCCCCAGGCTTATACTGGTACTAGAGAAATATCTTTCAACATACAGTTATTTTTCTTGTGTATTCCAGAGACAAACTGGGTAACAGCAGTTTTGATTCCCACAAATAGGTCTCTTACAGAGGATCACTTTCCTTACCTTCGTGTTGGCGCATGCTTTCCCCTTCTTATAGTCCTTATGGCTGCCCCTTTTATCCAATTTGGCCCACAAGGCTTTGGCTTTCCAATAATTTAGCTTGGACTTGAGTTTGTGATAGAAAGAACGGTAGTCCTTGGGCTTTAGTTCTAGGTAGTCACAGAGCTCCTGGAAAGCCTTGAGAGTCCCCTTGCACGTTGAAGCCTGGACAAATCTGTCGAAGAGAACGTGAGCCTGGTTCACCTTCTCGTTCTTACTCTCCTCCATGCTTCACGCTCGGCAGCTGCCCTGCAGGGCAGCCGTTCTCTTCCAGTCTGCCAGACTTCCCAGCGTTGCTCTGCTGAGCCACTTTCACCTCTGGCTTACAAGCATTATTAACCTAAAAAAAAAAAAAAAAAGAAAAAAATGTAACTGAGTTTGCTCTTATTTTTTTTTCTTTCCAAAATTATCTCTGTGTCTGAGCTGAGGTCCAGATTCTCAGTAATGAATAAAGAAAGCATCAGTCCTAAATAAGTCAACTAACCAATACCCCAGGCAGCCCTGCTGAGCTGACTGAAGCACAGCCTTCCAAAGCTCACCAAGCCTCTCTTCAGAACACTGGGACACGTCTTTTCTATCAGAGCACAAAATACTTTACCTGAGCCATACAACCTGTGAGTTTGAAGGCCTGAATGGTACTGCAGTACTAGAAAGAGGTTAAACCTAAGAGCAATCAAATGCTTAAGATGTCAAGACTGAAAAAAAAATGTTGGCCTGTGCTGCATCAAACAATATAAATATCTGCTTCACCTAGAGCCTATGGGGACATTTCCTGTGTCAGTAAGCAAGTAGCCCAAGAGAGAAATGGGGCTGTATTACTATCCATGTGGGGTTCTCAGGCTGTTTCCTCTGTTCTGTGGTTTTCAACATTGTTTGATATGCAGATCCCCACATTTCAGGTGGTAGTTGGGATCCTTGGCAGATGAAATATGCTGACGAGAAGTCTGCTACTCTTAGTTGCTTTCCTAGGATCCCACAGAAGTACAGTATTGTTTAGAATACAAACAACAATTTTCTTTAAAGAAAAGCTATTCTACTTTACATATAATAAATCTTTCTTCCTTTCATATACATACACATATAAACGCGTACATACAAATAAGGCGTAAACAATTACTCTAAGAAAGAATATTTCTGTTTATCTTCAGATAGGACGGTAGCATGGGAACATATGCTGGAACTGTGGAAAGGAAAACAGTTTTGAGGTACATTTTCCTTTGTTTTTTCGCAAAGGGCATTAAGGTAAAAAAGGAAGTATGTGGACTCGGATAAAAGCTTTCAGATTCTCACCAGTTCTTTTCCCGCTTCCAGCAGACAGGAAGCCAAGGCAAACATTACAGCTCATGTCTCTTTTCCCCTCCGCCACGACAGATCTGCAGCAGTTTATGTGGGCACTCCTGCTTCCCAGCCAAGCATGGCTTTTATTGCTTACATTTACAAATAGCAAAGGAGACCCAGAAACCTTTACATACATCCCTGAACTGTTTGGTATTAGAAATAAAAGTTCCTGCAGAAGCCACAGCACAACGACAGGTTATACCACTCAGTGTATTTCTGACTTTATTAGGACAGCTGCCTTAGAGGACTCAGCACAGACGAGGATGTTTTTCTAAGTAGCTGATGGACACTGATGTTGTCTACAGCAGTACTGCTCAGTAAGCAGTACGGAATTAACTTCTTTCCTTACTTTTAAGCTTAACTTCACTATCAAGTGTGCTTCAGGCTTGCACCTAAGGGGGACCACCATGCTTTGGTGCTTTAAGCCTGTACCTCCTGTTCCCAAGAATGCTATAGAGAAGCCCCAACAAATCTCCTCTTACGTTGAAGGAGCAATTTCAGTGCATCTGATAACAGAGATGAAATAAAATACCTACAGTCTAAATCCATACACCTCATTTACCAGCACAATACTTCAAGTATTCTGTACATTTCCCCCACCCCTGACACTCTATCACCCAAAACCTCTACAGCAGCACTTCAGATGACTGATATAGCACTTCCTAAGAATAAACCCCAGAAACTACACAGCCTACTGCAGCAGAGTGGCAATTTAAGCCAGTTGGTCCACAGACTATTACTGATACACCCAGACACAAGGACAGCCTGAGTCTCATTTCCTGCTCTTCCTTCTGTTGTGTTGTATTGAATCCTGTTGTATTTTCAGCAAAGTGACACTGATTCTGCACCGTGCAGAGAGATCTGTGAATTTAAACCCAGTCTTCTGTCACCACAGGAATTCAGTGCTTTGTGTTCAAGGCTGGCCAAGTCAGGAGACAGACCTGCAAAAGCAGGTCACTTTGTGAAGCACAACCAGAGCAGCACGTTAATTTTGCTGTTCTGCCTACATCCCATCTCACACTGGCTGTTAAGTTAGTTATGCCCACAGGTCAAATACAGAGGCTTCAGTCACTGTAATTAGTCACTCCTCAAAACTCTGCATTCTTGATGTATACACCCAGAGCCCTCGGAACCTGTGAGCAACATGTCAGAGAGCATGGAAATTACAGGAGGCAAAGCAAGGGCAGGCAGGAATTATTTGCCAAGTTTCCAGGGTATTTGTGTGCCTAGCCGGCCCTGCTGCAAGTCTGCAGCATCCTGCATGTTTTGTCTCGAGGCAGCTGATTGCTGACTCAGAAGCTCTGCAAATCCCTTGGCTGAAGCACTGGGAAAGAAAGACAAAGTCTGTGAAAAAATGCATGCAAAAGCAGCGTTCATGTTGCTATTTACAATAATAGCAAGGGGTTGTTACTGACTCATGGCTGAAAGTATGCCCAGGATCTCTGCTCCTGCGCAGGATAAAAGAACCCAGTGAAGAACAGAAACAAAGGATGAATAATTCCAGGTGGTGCTTCCTTCCCCTTCCTGCAGTCACCACAGGCACATGAATATTTCACCAAACATGTGCATGATAAAGGAAGTCCAGTGCCTGCAAAACTCACCCCAACTTGTATCAAATGGAAGAAAGAGGAAACGATTTTGCAAGTGATACACACTGTGATTTTGGTTACACAAATTCAAATTCCTGCAGTGCTGCAAATCCTATATCCCGAATACATATCTCCTGGACAGGAATCATCCTCCTACATTTTCAATCCGGATTTAGTTAAAAGTGCTCACTCAACTAATGTTTTGGGCCTGGAAAAGTAAAAAATTTTGGTATGGGAATGTATTTTCCAGCATTCTTCTACATTTTTTTTTCCAGCAGTAACTATTGACTTAATTCCATCTAAACTCACAGATTGTTCTTTCTGGCTCAAAACAGCATTTTGAGCAAATAAAACATTCGCCACTTCTGAGTGAGAGATCTTTTGAGAACCATGTCAGTATTTTCTTACATTTTGATTATTTCACAGCTAGGCAAACAGTGCAGATGCACCCTTGACAGACAAACTTCTGAGGGGCTAGTCATCAATACACTACAGTATTGTACGAAATCTAAACGACTGATAGCTCCAAGAGCCTCATTTTCCATTGATTTCATCCTTTCCATAGTATTTCCGATTGCCCAGCAACATCCCATGCCCCTGTCTCCCCTTCATGGCCCCTTACCTTCTGCCTAAGACTCAGTAAAGTGTTCTGGAAACTCTGAGATTAGCGTAGTACCGCAGCCAGTACACACTTGCAACTTGGCTAGCAAAAGCCTAAGAACAGATTACTGTTAAGCTATGCTGCAGACAGTGGGGACACCTATTTTTGTCTCTCTCCCCTACCCAGCCACCAGTTTTCTTGTAGGAAATGAATTACCTTCAAGACTTTTACTCCCTGTCAAATCTGGATGAAATGGTTCAGAAGTTATTAAGGATGAATTGAAAAGCAGATGGACAAATGACTGAATCCTGTAAGCCTCCCCTCTTTAGGAAACCACACTAACAAAAGTCTTTATTCCAGCAAATGAAGGAGCCCTGCTTTCGTTTCCAGGATTTGATTTATTTATACTTTTGGCTAAAACTGAAGAAATGGTCTTTGCTACAGTATGCTGATCACATTGTAAGTGATCCTGGATAACAAGAAGTGCGGGCTTAGGTTGGCTGTAAGGGCCGGGGAACAGATGGCAAAAAGAGGACAACTTTGACAAGAAAAGATAAAAAGCATTGGCAATTATTTCAGCTCTGTATCATGCAGACAAGAAATGGGAAAGCAGGAGGACAAAAGGGTGGGGCTGCCATTGTGTGCAGCTTCCTTTTTAGACCAGATGGAAAAAAGAAATGTCAGTACCACACACGATCAAGTTTGAAGATGGTATTTAGATCCACTCTCATTTGTAACATTAAACACTCAAGCAAATACAGCGGACAATAAATGTTTGCTGTTTATGCATCTATCAAAACCTGGTTTGAGGAGCTTCTGCACACCATGTGGGGATGAATCCCATCTATTTGCTTTCTAACTCCGCCAAGCTAGAGCAAAAGTGAGAGAAAGAGGGATCAGATGTGAACTTGTTGCAAACACAAGAATCCGTTCCCCATAAGATCAAAGTATATACACAAACAGGTCACACACTGTCACAGAGAAAGCTCGATTCAGTAATGATTTGAAAAGAAATGCAAATTATATCGAAGAACATGGAAACAAACACAGAGGCATCTACAGATATTTGGTTCCCAAATTCACATCAAGGTACTGAAAAAAAATATGTAGATTATTCATTCCTAATCCTTTCTTAAGTGCCATATAATGTTTACTGAAACATTAGAACTACAAAATAAGACCTTTTATCTACATAAATTCAACAAATGTACTACTCTGCTGCTCTGTCATATACCACTCTTTGATCAAATCAGGGTCCCTATAGGGAGTGAACATCAGCATCCAAGAATGAGGCCAAAAAACAGATAAGATGTCTTCTTTTCTTTCTTTGATAAAAAATAATGCCCCCAAATGTTCTACCTGGGATTTTCCTTCTGGTACTTGGGGAAAAGCTGCTTATCTTAAGCACTGGAAGTGTTATGTATTTGACCATTTTAGACAGTTTTCTTGAATCATAAAGCAAAATCTCCACAGACAATAGAAGAAGAAAATGATACCATGGAATACCATGGAATAGGAAGAGGTAACTGCCCCCTTATAACATGGTAAAGGAATGATAGGCCATCTGGATGGATGTCATACTGTATAACAAGAATGACTAGCCTAGAGTCCCTGAATACACCCATGACACAGCCACATACCAGGGAGACCCCTCATAGCACAAGTCTTCACATGAGGCCAACAGTAACCAATGCAGTGATTCCTTCTCAGCTAGAACCAGCTTGTTAATTGCATGCCTGAGAAGCTGAGGACATTCAAGGCATATCTTGGAACTGTCACCATTCTGTAAAGAACCACGTTGTTACCCATAAATAAAATTTATTTACCAAAAG